GCAGTATTGCTCCTAAAGCATCGGACCTTGCTTCTATCACCAGTCACATCCACAACTGGGTGTTGTTTTTGCTTTGGCTCCATCTCTTCACTCTTTCTGGAGTTATTTCTCCACTGATCTCCAGTAGCATATTGGGCACCCACCGACCTGGGGAGTTCATCTTTCAGCTCTGGAGCAGTGAGCAGCCGAGAGGAGATACCCCATGTCCAAGGTCAGTAGTGGCGGCTGTGAGGTGATGCACCACATCCAAGGTCAGAGAAGCCCCAGTAAGAAGGTAGGCACTGAGATAGGGCAGACATCAGAGGGCAGACAGACTGAAACCAGAATCACAATAAACTAACCAGTCTGATCACGTGGACCACAGCCTTGTCTAACTCAGTGAAACTAAGCTATGCCTTGTAGGGCCAACAAGGAAGGATGGATCATGGTGGAGAGGTCTGACAAAACGTGGTCCACTGGAGAAGGGAATTGCAAGCCACTTCAGTATTCTTGCCTTGAGAACCCCGTGAACAATATGAAAAGGCAAAAGGATAGGACACTGAAAGATGAACTCCTCAGGTCGGTAGATGCCCAATATGCTACATCATCATAGGAGAGAAAATACTTTCTTGTTGACAATCCCCTGTGTTGTCATGCCTGGATCTCCAAACTCTAATTGAAAAGTGGTTGTTAGGAACCTGAATTACATTGTATCTTAGATAAAATGTGGTCAGTGGTGCTCGCTTTCCAGGCTAGCATGCTCTCGCTGACCTGATGGGCATTGTGCTGGCCTGGGACTCAGAAGCTCAGAAGCTTGGAAATAGCCCCAGTGCTCATTTGAGGTTGAGTTGGGCCCTGGGTAGAACTGGATCCAATTGGCCTTTGGTCTCTCTTCCTTGTTAGTATCCCTCTTCCTTCCTCTTCTCTCTTTTCCTCTCTGAGCTTCTACTTAACTGAGCTTCCATGGCTGCAGTGGCCTTGAAAATGCACCACTCAGATTCATGCTATGCCACAGGGGCCATAAATGATAGACAGGCCAGATACTGTGTTCCAAATCCACCATGTCATCTACTGAGGCTTTACTTCCCTTGAGCTGATCTCAGTCACTGATTGAACACAGGTGCAATGCTAAGGCAGGACTATTCCTGCAAGATACTGGATAAGTTGACTCTTGGACTCCCATCAGCCTGGCTGAAATTCTCCTAGCAGTGTGCTGCAGTCTGAGACTCTGCCCACCCAGCTCCCTTCCTTCCCTCTGTCCTTCCCTGGATCAGACCTGTGCTGGGGTCTGATGGCTCCCCTTGCCTGATAGGATTCCTCCTCTGTTCCTCCTGCAGACATTTCCCCAACAGGCCTAATCCCATCTTGGCCTCTACTTCTTACAGGACCAGGAGTTAACACATGCGACTGCACACAGGCCACCAGCAGCAAGGAGTCTTCTCCAACCCAACAGCTGGTGAGTACTTTCTTGCTTCAGGTGCAGAAGAGCGTAGTTGACCAGTGAATCCAGGAAGAATCAGTTGGAGTAGGAGGAGCTGGACCTACCTGATGGAGCTAAAAAGATTAGCACTTAGTTGTTCTCAAAACCCCAGGGTCAAATAGAAGATGATCGGTTCCTCCTCATTTCCTGACTTATATTTCAGAGGGTTTCTTGTTTTGTTTTTACTTTATTTTCACATCAAAGTAATTTTGAGTATTTATATAGATCTGATTTTACATGGAAATAAATGGGAGTACCATTATTTGTTAAAAATTTTCCAGCATAATTTTTCAGGGTTTCTGCTTCTTCACCTTCCATCCACACACTGGTTAGACAGAGACATGAACATTCCAGGTGAGTAATTTGGGAGCCTTTTAACACTACCTGTTTTTACATGTCTGTTCAACATTTAGTAGGAATGCAAAAATAAAAATTAAATGCTTTTTTATGTTGAAAATAAAGATTTATATTCCATATACATATTGCATGGGATTTTCTGAACTAGACAGTTTCTTGAGAGCCATATTGAACTTTTAAAATGAAGTTATTCTAATAAATCATCTCCAAGAAAGAGCACATGCAGCATCGTGAATTTTTCAGTTTCAGAATTTCAACAGGCTGGATTCTTAAAGGGAACTCTCAGGGGGCCAGTCTCAAAGTTAGTGGTGAGGCCTTGTATAACCATGTAAATTACATGTACTTGCCACAGAAATATCAGCAGAGATAGACTAGAAACAGTACCAGTGTTTAATTGCAACCAAACTAATTTAGGTCTCACCAGTTTTGTCAGCAGTCATGTGTGGAGAGCTGAGTTAACCAGCTCCTGCTGTAGTTTTATTCCAGCGACATTTCAGTGTCCCCTGTTGACTGGTGCTCTGGACAGCTGCCTAGTGGCTTAGGATTGTATCATGCTTAGCCTGGAGTATGGGATGGACTCCGCCAGCAGTACCACAGCATGTCTATAAGATGCCCTCCATAGAGCTTGAAGGCCATCTGGCCGGGGTGTGGGGGGGAAGACCAGGGAGTGGGGAGCCTGGGGGAGATAGATGAGGGGGGTACCGCAATGATCAGGCACCTGGCAGGGTGAAGGACATCTGTGGCAGAAAGTCATGGGGTTTTCTCAGATCCAAGGGGAAAAAATCATCAAAGTAGAGAAGGGAGGGAGGGAGCAGTGGTTTTCAGTCAGGGGCAGATTTGCCATTTCCCACCACTCCTGCCCCTAAGACATGAAGCAGTGTCTAGAGACATTTGTGGGTGTCACAACCTTGGGGAGGGGACGAATACTACCAGCATCTGGTTGGCAGAGGCCAGTGTGCATGCCTGCCAAGTTGTTTCAGTTGTGTTTGACTCTTTGCAACCCTATGGACTGTAGCCCCCCACGCTCTTCTGTCCGTGGAATTCTCCAGGCAAGAATACTGGAGTGGGTTGCCATGTCCTCCTCCAGGGGATCTTCCCAACCCAGGGACTGAACCTGCATCTCTATGTCTCCTGCATTGGCAGGCGTGTTCTTTATCACTACCACCACCTGGGAAGCCCATGGAGGTCAGAGATGTTGTTAAACACCCTAGAATGCACATAACAGCCCCCACAACAAAGAATTATCTGGTTCAAAATGTTGGTAGTGCTGAAACTGAGGAAACTTGCTAGAACCTGAGTTAAATCTAGTCCTGGGTTAAAATAATTTATGGATTTTTTTTTTTTTCCTTTCTAGGATGAAGGCTTTCCTGCAAGGCCCCCATTGTCCTCCACTTCACCCGTGGTTTGCCTCCTTCTCGTCTGAGTCCTGCGGCTCCTCGCGCCTGTTCCACGTCTGCACTTCGTATTGGTGGGGAACCTCATGGCCATAAGCTGGGAGGGAGTGGAAGGCAGAGAACTGTGAGCCAAGACATACTCCCTCTTGCCCTGCTGGGTCTCTCTCTGTACACCGAGGCACTCTTAGGCAGGGAAACCCCTGCGGACTAAGAGGGAGGCTGGGCTCAAGAACCAGCGGGTCCAGACTTTGGCAGAGAAGGGAAAGCTTCCAGGAAGAGGTGGGGGATGCTTCTCATTAACAGATTCGTGGGAGAGGGAATGCGTATGGTATGCTTATGTTCCGTTTGTCTAAATATTATTTTCATGAGGTCAGAGACCTTACCCTTTGTTCTAGCTATCCATGAATACATAATAAACCACCCCTAAATTAAGTGGCTTCATGCACTTTATTAATATAGTGCATGAATTGTATCTCATAGTTCTTGAGCCTACCTGGGCGGTGGTTTTTGCTTGGACTTTTCTGTGTAGTTATAGTCAGATGATGTCTCGGACTACAGTCATCTGAAGACTCAACTCGTCTTGATATCTAAGCACACTCACCTGGATTGCATTTATTTTTAGCTTTCTGCTTAGAGCTCAGCTGAGGCTGCACCTGAAGTGTCTACACGTGGCCTCTCCATGTGGCTTGGATTCTTAAAGCATGGCAGCAGGCTCCTAAGAGGGAGCATCTGAAGAGAAAACTGCAAGACTTTTTGTGATATGGCCACAGAGGCTCCAGATTTAAACTGGTTAAACCAAATGCACTGAGCCCAGCCCAAATTCAAGGTGAGGGAAATTGGGTGACTCCTCTTGATGTGCACAGTAGCATGTATGCACAGAGAGAACAGGATTGAGGGTTGTCGTCTATGACTGTTTGCCAGTTCCTACTCTTTGATGCCTTGAAAGCTATCTGTCAACCCCATACCCTAAACAAGAGAGCCTAGTAGAGTGGTGTGCCAGGTAGATGAGAGGTAAATGGTTAAGGCCCTAGATGCCTAGAGGCAGGGAGACCTAGTTTTGAATCTGGGTTTTTCCAGTTAACCGCTGTGGATCTTGGGCAAGTTGTTTAACCTGTGTGAGCCTCAGTTGGCTCATTTGTAAAAGAATGATAATATATACATCTCCATGTATGGTTGTGGGATTTAAATTTTGCCCAGCATAAAGTAAGCATTCAGTAATTGTTCGCTGTTGGAAATAAAGGTGAAAAGAGGCTGTGCTTTGTTTACTCTGGTCCAGCATCAAGGTGAACTCAGCTCTACAGCACCACTAATGTTCAGGTCTCTCCAGCAGGAAGGACATGGAGTCGAGAGACTACAGTCAGGAAGGTAAAGTCAAGGTTTGGAGAATGAGTATTGCCACAGTGACCCTTAGGGGCCCTAGAGAAGGAAGGAATTTGTCCTGGAGATTAAAAGTGAAGGATCAGGGTCTGATCCAAGCAGAGCATGTTGATGGAGCAGTGTGGTGGGGAAAAACTCTGCCTCTGGCTCATGTTCCTTCTATTAATATTTTTAGAGCCTCAGCGATCTCACTACAATGGACAGGTGTGATCTGAAGGCTGCAGAAGTTCCCTCTAGTCATTGTCAAGCTCTTCCATGTTAGGAATCTCCAAACGTGCCCACTCCTCCCCATCTATTTGGTCAGCACTCTTGCTTGGGCCACTGTGGTTGTTATTCTCTTACTTACTACTGATGTCTCTTTACGGGTCCTCTTGCTTTTAATCTGTTCCCATTGGTCTTTTGCAGGGCAATCAGAATAACCTATTTTGTAACACAAATCTGGTCGTGTACTCACAAGCTAAAAGCTAAACCAGGGCTGGTTATTCTCCATTTTCCTCTCTCTCTGTCCTTTTTTGTACCTGGTATCAGAGGGTTACTATATCCAAATGGATTCCTTTGACTTGCTGTATTCTATTGGGGTTCAGCCAATGAAGGATCCAGCAGGGGACTGGAGAGCAAAAGATGGGGGCATTTGAAGTATGTTTCCCCCCTGGAGTGCTGCTGTTTCCTGTGACTTTCCATGTCATCCTGCGTAGTGACTCTCCTTCCTGGCTCCGCCGCTCATGACTTCCCTCCCCCTACCTCCTCAGACCTGGGAGTGATCATGGCTTCTCCATGTTGCTTTGCTTGAGTACCTCAACACCCTTCCTTGGTTCCTTTAACTCCACCCACACCCATTAAAGTAGTTCTTCTGTAATTATACCATGCAAAATGCCAGGCTGGATGAGTCACAAGCTGGAATCAAGATTGCTGAGAAAAATATAAACAACCTAAGATATGCAAATGATACCACTCTAATGGAAGAAAATAAAGATGAACCAAAGAGCCTCTTGATGAGAGTGAAAGAGGAGAATAAAAAGCTGGCTTAAAACTCAACATTCAAAAAACTATCAAGGCATCAAGTCCCATCACTTCATGGCAAATAGATGGGGGAAAAGTGGAAACAGTGACAGATTTTATTTTCTTGGTCTCCAGAATTACTGCAGCCACAAAATGACTCTTGCTCCTTAGAAGAAAAACTATGACAAATCTAGACAGCATATTAAAATACAGAGACATTCCGTTGCCAACAAAGGTCTATCTAGTCAAGGCTATGGTTTTTACAGTAGTCATGTATGGATGTGAGAGTTGGACTATAAAGAAAGCTGAGCACAGAACAATTGATGCTTTTGAACTGAGGTGTTGGAGAAGACTCTTGAGAGTCCCTTGGACTGCAAGGAGATCCAACCAGTCCATCCTAAAGGAGATCAGTCCTGGGTGTTCATTGGAAGGACTGATGCTGAAGCTGAAACTCCAATACTTTGTCCACCTCATGCGAAGAGCTGACTCATTGGAAAAGACCCTGATGCTGGGAAAGATTGAAGGCAGGAGGAGAAAGGGACGGCAGAGGATGAGATGGTTGGATGGCACTGCCAACTCAATGGACATGAATTTGGGTAAACCCCGGGAGTTGGTGATGGACAGGGAGGCCTGGTGTGCTCCATTCTGTGGAGTCACAAAGAGTCAGACACAACTGAGCGACTGAGCTGAACTGATGTCTTCCTGGAAATCTTGTTCTCATTCCTCCCTTCCCTAGCAGAGTTGACTCCACTTTACCATCAACTCAAGCGATGCTTTCTTAGAAGAACTGCCATGAATCACTAGATTCGGCATTTTATTAGTTCTTTAAATTTCCTTCATACTTTGGATCACAATTTATATGGTAATTTGATAGTGTGTCTCCCTTACTAGGCTATAAATAGAAGGGGATTGACAAAGTTGAAAGTGGTTTTCAGAAGGTGGTGGAGGAAATTGAGTTGGTAAAAGGGTACATGCTTTTAGTTATAAGATGAATAAAGTCTGAAGAGCTAATGTATCACATGGTGACTCTAGTTGATAACACCATTTGGTATAGTTGAAATTTGCTAAGAGAGTAGAACTGAATGTTCTCACCCCCTTCAAAAAGGTGGGGGATAAATATGTGAGGTGACAGATGTGTTAATTAGCGTGATGGGGGAAACCCTTTCACAAGGTGTATGTATTGGGTTGGCCCAAAAATTCCTTCAGTTTTTAAGTAAAATTAAAAGACCTGTTTTTCATTTTCACCAAAAACTTTATTGAATTCACCATTTTGTTCCATTACCTTCTGCCATATTGTTCCACTGCCTTCTGCCATTTTTCAGGCAACTTCATAATTCCATCTTCCCAAAACTTTTTATCTTTTTGAGCAAAAACTGTTCCAGGTGCTTTCCAGGGAACTGGAATTTTTTCCATTAAGAGAATTTTGCTAAGACTGAAGTAAATAGACATCTGATTGTGCAATGTCTGGTGAAGATGTTGGTGAATCAGAACTTCCCAGCTAAGCTGTAATAGTTTTTGCCTGGTCATCAGAGAAACATGCAGCCCTGTCATCCTGATGGAAGATTAAGCACTTTCTGTTGACTAATTCTGGATGCTTTTCGTAGAGTGCTGCTTTCAGTTGGTCTAATTGGGAGCAGTACTTGTTGGAATGAGTTTTTTGGTTTTCTGGAAGGCTCATAATAGAGGACTCCCTTCCAATCCCACCATCTATACAGCATCACCCTCTTTGGATGAAGAGCCTTTGGTGTGGTTGGTGGTTGCTCATTTCATTTACTCCACTATCTCTTCCATTCCACATTATTGTACAGTATCCCCTTTTCAATGCCCATCACAGTTTATTTTAAAAGTGGAACATTTTAGTTACATTTAAGTAGAGAGTCACATGCAGAAATATGGTCAAGAAGGTTTTTTTTACTTAACTTACGTGGAACCCAAACATCAAAGTGATTAACATAACCAAGCTGGTACAAATGATTTTCAGCACTTCATTTGGATATTTTGAGTATGTCAGCTGTCTCCTGCGTGGTATAAATTGAGTGTTCTCAGTTAATGTCTTGATTTTTTCTCAGTTAATGTCTTGATTTGATCACTCTCAACTTCAGCTGGTCTCCCTGACCATGGAGCATCAGCCAGAATGAATGTTTGCACCACTCTTGACATGTTCAATGTGTCACAGCACCTTCTCCATACATTGCACAGATTCTCTTTGCATTTCAGTTACATTTTTACCTTTCTTGAAACATAAAGTAAAATATGCTGAAAATGCTTTTATTCTTCCATCTTCAGTTTTAAGATGGTTACACAAAAATTCACCAATTTTGATTTTTTTTTTAATGCACGCAGGTATGACAGCTGTCACAGTACAATCTAACAAAATTATTTCAAATGAGTTAAAGACAACTAAGCACTACTAGAGCCATCTTACAGAAAAAAACAAAACAAAACTTTTGGCCAACCCAATATATCAAATCATCACATTTTAGACTTTAAATACCTTGTTTTATTTGTTCACTATACCTCAGTAAAGCTAGGGGACGAGGAAGAGGCAGAGGGTTGGGCACCCTGTCAATTTTGGTTCACATTTGTATCTTCAGTATCTAGCATGATGCCCTGGTACATTGCGGACCCTCCATAAAGGATTTTTGATTCAATATGTATAATCCAAAACCCCAATGAGGGATCGGGTGGAGAGGGAGGTGGGAGGGGGGATCAGGATGGGGAATACATGTAACTCCATGGCTGATTCATGTCAATGTATGACAAAACCCACTGCAATGTTGTGAAGTAATTAGCCTCCAACTAATAAAAATAAATGGAAAAACAATTTACTGAATGAACTATGTGGATCCTGTTGGAGGTAGACCAAGTTGGTGATGGAAAGGTGAGTTAGTTCTACTCTGACTGTAGCTGTTTTCCCTTTTCTCCCTCAACAAGGAGGAGGAACAGAGAGACTGCAGATC